GGGGTCTCAAACAAGGTGAACCCCTATCCCCCATGTTATTTTTTATTGTGGTTGACATTTTAAATAAGATGTTGATTACTAGTGTAGCTTCGGGGGATTTATCTGATCTTCAGCTGAAGGGTGAGCTTAATTCCATCAAAGCTCTCCAGTTCGCTGACGATACCATCATTTTCAGCAGGGCTTCTCCTTCTGATATGACCATCCTCAAAACTATCTATTTTTCTTCGCCAATATCTCTAGTCTTCATGTCAATCCTCAAAAAACAAATCTTTTTTACTTTGGTAAATGCCTCACAAAAGCATTCATCTAGCTTCCATCCTCAACTGCTCTGTTGGCTCACTCCCATTCTCATACCTTGGTCTACCTCTCAAAAGAGGTTCTTTGACCAGAAGGGAGTGGGCAGCCCCTCCTGCACTCTTTCATGAAAAAACTCTCTCTCTAGAAGAATAAGTCCCTCTCAATTGGAGGTGGACTCACTCTTCTTAACTCAGTTCTCTCTTCTATCCCTCTTTATTAGATGTCCTTCTTCAAACTGCCTACATGGGTTACCAAGAATCAGAAGGAACTTTCTAAGGAATGGTAGCCACATCCAATCTAAAACTAAATGCTTGGTCAATTGGGCCATTGTTTGCAGGCCTAAGCAAGACGGAGGGCTGGGGGTTATTGATATCTCTTCTTTCAATCTTGCCCTTCTCTCCAAGTGGTTTTGGAAAGCTTTTGACAGAAACTCTCTCATGAGTAAAGTTATTTTCTCACTATACTCTATAAACAATTCCAACCCTTTTGTGCATCCTCCTAAAAACACGACATCCAGATTCATCCTTGATTTGCATTCTATTCGCTCAATTTTTTTTAGCATGGTTAGATAGCAGGTGGGTGATGGTAAAACTTGCAGTTTCTGGTTTGATAAGTGCACTAACGCCAACTCTCTTAGCAGTGTTTTTCCAAAAGCTTGCCATCTTGCTTTTTCAATTTGCAGCTCTGTTCGGTCCCAAGGATATTTGCACCGATCTTCCTAGCATTGGCATCCCGTTCTCAGAAAGGGTATCATCTATGAAGAAAAAAATAACATTGATAAGCTTTTAATCCATATGGATGTGTTCTCAGTTGCTATCAATGCTAATCCTGACAGTATTTGGTGGCCTTATAATCCATTTGGCTCATTTCCAGTTAAATCCTTATACACCAACATCACCTCTGGTGGGCTAAAGTCCCAATTTCATAACTTCATCTGGAAATCTCACATCCCCCTGAAGGTCAAGGTTCTATTCTGGATTATTTCTAAACAAAAGCTCACCACCAGAGCCAATTTGATTTCTAAAGGCTGGATTGGAGACCCTCGTTGCCCCCACTACAACCAGGAGGTTGAAACTCAAGATCACCTGTTTATCCTCTGCCCTTTTGCATGTTCAGTTTGGTCTACCCTCCTCCCTCACGCCCCTATTACTAGATGACCTCAATCCATGGAGGCGTTGATTCTCTTATACAGGGCTCCAAATACTTGTGCAGATATTAAAGTTATTTGGAAATTTTTGTTACCGTGTTTCTGCTGGTGGATGTGGAATTGTAGAAACTACCTCATATTTACAGATTTCCCTGCAAATCCTATTCATATTGCAGCTAATATCGCTAGGTATGTCATTTTTTGGGAAGGGGCCGAAGATGACAGACTGGCGAGGCGTATTCGTAGGGCTACCCAAAACTTGAAGATACAAGAAATTGCAAAGAAGAACACTGATGGTGCTTGTGGGGACAACTTCTCCGATGCCAGTTTACTTGGCCAACGTTTCTCTCCAAGTATGCCTCTCCCTGCGTCTGCCTTGTTTTCTCGGAAACTTGTTGTTTGTCTTTGTGCTGTAAGAATTCAGTGTTTGTGTTTCTGTGTATCAGACTCTATATTAGCTCGTGTGTTTTTCTTTTGGCCTTGAGTGAATGATCTTAGTAGAGTTAGCTCAGTCGGTGACGACTAGGTCCGCTCCTTACCAACTTCTTTTCTTTGATCTTTCCTCACGGCTCAATTGTTGGTTTTGTATCAGACTTTTTTATCTTAGTATATCATTATATATAAATCTTTATGAACAAGATATCTCACCCTGCTTTCCAGTTCAAAAAAAAAATGTTTTCTGGATAATATTTAAAATGAGTATGTGTGGCTGTAGCTATGGAATGTTGTCACAACTACATGACAAAAATATAGGTGTGACAAGTGTAGTACTGGTTGTTCATACTCGCGAGATGGACGGTGGAGAATGTTGCCATGAGCAGCATCTTTCTTTAGACATTTACAATCATGCTTGTCTGTCTTTTTCCCCTTAAAAAAATGTTTGTTGTGATTTTTTTTTTTTTTTTTCTATTTCATTTCACCTCTTACATGATATGTAGAAATGCCCACTTGTTAGCTAGCAATATGTAAATCTCATGCTTGTTATGTCTTTCCGTCCTTTTTGGACTTCCACATTATTCAACTTTTAATGATTGATCCCTTTGTTTTTGCATTGAGACATAAGCTTGCTATATACCAAATTGTTTTGCAACACCAACACACAGTTTGGCTAGATCTGCTTCTTAATATCACCCACGTTAGCTGTTATCATTGACACAAGTCTATATATTATGCCTTTCTTTGAAATATTCATATTCATTTTAAAGAGAAATAGCGACACATAACTTTTCTTCTGATCCTTCTCAGAGAAGGAAAGTCTGTAAGTTCTTGATCTCACAGCATCAACCATCAGTGACAAATCACAAGTTTCACAGAAAGTTTCTCAGTTATCATTACGAATATGAAGTTTTGAAGCAATGAAAGAAATATGTTATATTAGTCACTGTCCACCAAGTTATGATATCCGAAAGGGACAAAATTGTAAGCAGATTAGGAAGATACCATATTCATAGGGCTAAGATTTTAAACCAGGAAAGAGATGCTTAGGCTGCCGGAAAAGTTTGCAATTATTTCTTATAAACTTTAGAACTGTGTTTAATTGTGAATGGTATCGTTGTTTTTAAGTTTACTGCCCTCTAATTTTATTTATGCAGATAGATCCTCGAGTGAATTTTGTTCTCTCCCTTACCCTTAGAGAAAGGTTTGGTTCCCCTGTCACACCTCCTTTAATATGCGGAAATAAATGAGAACTGAATGCAATTCCAGTATCTAATTAATGCTTACCAAACATAATTTACTTTTGGGTGCTAGAAATATCATTCACACTTCCCATCAATTCCCACTCAATATAGAAATCGTCATTCTCAATGAATTATCAAGTAATTAATATTTTCAATCAAGTGAGAATGAAAATAAAAATATAAATTTCTACCTTCTTAAAGATATTCCAACTTAATTCTCTAATCGCACCAAAAAATGAAAATGAGAATAAACATTACATTCCCACATCAATTCCATTTCATTCATACCTCTAGTACCAAACGAGGTAGTAAAAGACTGAAAAATTTCACCCAACGGGTTTACTATAAAAATAAAACTAAAGGAATAGCAAGTTCAAACCCATGATACCATAGAGGGGCTACACAATTAATCCATGATCTATGAATGTGCTATAAATCTACTAGTAAACCAATTGCAAGGGGGAGCTTGCAATTGCTTTAAGAAGGCAACAAGTGTGACACTATCTACTTGAAATACCAAATCCCTCGACAATAACTACTTAGTAGTGGGTCGCCCCATCTTCGTGCACTTAAAAAGTAGTTAGGTGTTGAGATCAAGTGGGAGCAGGGGTCCAGTACCAAGTGGAGTTGGACCCCTACTTGCCCACAACTTATAATCAAATAAATAAAATGGGGCAATTCTACTTTGTGTTCAGCAGGTGGTGTGCTTGCCCATCTGTTACCAACTCCTAGGGGAAAAGAAAATATATATAAACCCGCTGTAGAAAATCATATAGCAGAGAAGAACATGACATATGTTTCGCTATAAGATCTAAATCAATACAGTGAATATTGCATCAGTGCAATCATCTCTTGTATTAGTGTAATTTGAATATTGTACCAGTGTAACCAGCAACTTTATACTGAGACGATTTCATGTTCTCCCTTCCTATCTATATGACCTCTATAGAGAGGCCTCTATAGGATTTTTGTTAGTCCCAAGCCCTAACCCACTCCTCTCTCTCTCTCTCTCTCTCTCCCTCTCTCTCTCTCTCTGCATCTCCAACTAGCATGTGACGATGCATTTCAAACTCCACAGACTCTTTACCTTTTAGATCTCCCTCAACCCTCTTTATTTTCCCTCTCTAAATCTGAAGCTAACCAGCATGTGATGATGTCAACCTCCACAAGTTTCTCTCTTTTTTAACCTTAAAGCTGACTGGCTTTAAGCATGTGCTCTCAAGATTGGGTGAGGCAGTTATTTTCATGCTAAAAGTGATGATAGATCTTGGACCCCCCATACTCTTTCAAGTGGAGGAAAGGACTCTGATGTGCTATTTGTTTAGGTCAGGAGTTCAAAAGGGCTGATTCTTTCTTGCCCTCTGCCCACAGACAAAGTGTACTACAGTAAGGGCTAATGACCAGACCAAGAATCACACCATCAGCTCATCATTTTCAATTTATGCCCCCCCTTTCTCATAAATAAAGCAATTGACAAACGTACTCCAAGGGCTAGTAACCAAACCAAGGACGATATCGTAATCTTGTCAGTTTCAATTATGTCCCCTTTTTATCACAACAAATCAATTGACAAATGTACTACAAGAAGAGCCAATAACCCAATTAAGTATGATACCATGAACATACCAGTTTCAATTGTACCTGATGCCTTGAACATACCAGTTTCAATTGTCCCTTTTTCTCACAAATAAAATGAATGAATCAGAGGAAAACTGTTTACTGGAAACTAATATTACCGTTAATTTGCTAATTTACTTCAGTTCAGTTTTGATGTTGGTATCCCACTCTATTTGGCGATACAAATACTATCAAACTATTTCAACTTTTGAGCATAACTTCACACCATGTTGGAAGAGGCAATTATAAGGAACAGAACATGGAAAAAGATCAAACTTTGACAGTAGAGATGCAATCCTACAAAAATCTCTGCAATATTCATTGACAAAAGAAGGGGTCTATGTTACATGCTGTATGTACCATTTTCTCAAGCAAAGTAGATGTTAAACAACAGGAATTCGGAACGAATTGTCATTACAGGTGTACCTTCAAAGACTTGAGATAAACACTTCAATTTAACGATCCATAGGTTCCTTCCATCTGCAAAGCAAAAGCATTGACCTGAAATTGATGCATCAACTCCATGAACGACCACTGCCCAAGCCTCTTCCTCGATCACGAAAACTACCATGGCCTGTTCCTGTTGTAGTGATCAGCAATATTACATGAGAACTGTTGACGATATCAAGAATTACAGCGTCACTTATCAACAGAATAGAATTGAAGAATGATGACAGTCCCAACTACGAGGCAACCAAGATGTTGGAAGGAACTAGCTATATCAATTGTAGTGAAATGCAATCCATCAAATCATAAATGGTGGAATATAAATTATAAGGAAGAAAGTATATTGAGCAAGATTTTCTTTGGGATGCAACGGTTGGTGATCATAGGAAAGCTAAGGTCACATGGAAAGAAGTTTGCCGACCTAACGAATGTAGTGGTCTTGGCCTAAATCAGTTGGAAATTCACAACAGAGCTCTTATGCTGAAGCATGTGTGGCACTGCAACTCAAAACTGATTCACTATGGGTTCGTTGGATTCATGCGTGCTATTTGAGAGACCATAAAATCTGGAGTATTGCTAATAAGGGTCATTTCTCATGGCCTTTTAGAAAAAATTTTGAAACTGAAAGATGATGCGTTAAAGTGTGGTATTTGGTGACATTGGGATTTCCTGGATTGCAGATCCCCCCTCATTTTCAACCTCTTCAACCTGAAGGAAGCTCTGTTACTAATCCCAAAACAAAGCTGGAGTACTTTGGTACGGAACTCTTTTACATACCCAAAACATGGCTTTATATTTTGAGTTGCATGTATGGATAGATTGCTACTAAAAGTGAACTTAACTCCCATGGAATCATACAAGATGATTTATGTCCACTGTGTGAAAGTCAAGCTGAAAGAAGAGATCATTTGTTCAATTTTAGCTCTATTTAGTGGCAAAAAAACTCTGCATCTTATCCAGTTTTATTCATACCCAGGTGATTTAAGTTCTATCGTTGCTTCGATGCTCAAATGGAGAGGGGAGGTAAAATAATTAATGGCATCAGGAAAGCTGCTTCTGCAGCTTGTATGTGCATCATATGGTCTGCAAGAAATACTGAAAGTTTTTCATCATTAGATGATTCAAATTGAGGAGCATCAAGCTCATTGTGTTTGAAGTGAAGATCAAATGTAGCACAGTTGTTAGAATGAAGGATACAAAGGCAAGTAGAAGAAGTGCTCTGCTATGCATCAACCCTGAATTCGCGAAGAAACAGAGCATTGTCAACAATTGTTAGATTTAGCTTGTTGTAGTATTGGTTAGTATTAGTACTTGAGAAGATGCTGGAGTTTTTCGATGTTTTGCTACAGATTACATGTATAGAGGCCAGTTTGATGTAGGCCAGAGAGTTTATCTTAATTGTACATATCTTGGTAAATGAGAAATAAAATGCTTGCTTACCAGAAAAAGCAAATTAAACGAGTAGTTAAAAACAAGAAGGTAAATTTCACAAAACCATAATGAACTGAAAGGGTTTTGCACAAACTACCATTAAATTTTATTAAGAAAATTACCATGAATTTTTAAAACTGCAGAAAATTATCATGAACTACCGAAGCAGTTGCTAACAGCGTGCATAATACATCTAAACAACCCTTATTTATATTGATCATAACTATCAACCCACAAAGTTTATAGGGGTAATGTAGAAGATATATGTAGTACATAATGGCAAAATTTCCCAAAACATGTCACTCCCAAATAATGCAACAACCTTTCTTAACTATCATGATGAACAGAAATTTAGTTGAAAAGTTTGTTTTATCTAATCAAAACATTTATGGTAGTTGTGTGCATCATCTGAGTTTACAGCACTATCGTGAAAGTTATCCGGAAAAATAGAGAATATTGATTTAATGAAATATTCCCAACTTTTAAAAGAGGAGTTGGCTTAAAGAGGATTGGATTCAAAAGCACCAAAAGGATGCATAGCCAGCCCAAAAGACTCGGATAAAATACTTTTTAATGCCATAAATTAATAAAAAGAGTGAAAGTGCCAAGTAGACTGACCTCCAGCCTGAGGTGGGGCACCTCGGCCCATGGCAGCCAGTTCAGGGCTGACCTTCTGCCCAGCTTCTTGCAAAATATTAATAAGTTCCTTTGCAAACCTAGCATTGGCTGCAGTAAAGAAAGTATATGCAGTTCCTTTGGCCCCAGCCCTCCCAGTCCGACCTATCCGGTGAACATAATCTTCTAAAGATCCAGGAAAATCATAGTTGATCACATATTTTACATCCTTCACATCTGTGAACTAAGAAGCATGAGAAACAATATAACAATAAAGATAAAACACTGAATTGAGAGAAAATCCTAATACCTAAACCACGAGCAGCAACATCTGTTGCAGTCATGATGGGACTCTTCCCTGCTTTGAACTCTGAGAGGACCCAGTCCCTTTCAGCCTGGCTCTTGTCACCATGAATTGAGAGGGCAGGCCAGCCATCAGTTCTTAATTGCCTCGTAATTTGGTCGCAACCCTTCTTAGTGTCCATAAATATTAAAATACGGCTTCCATCCATTATATCCTCCAGTAGCTTGACCAGTCTGGAGAAGATATAAGATATCATGTAAGCTTACTGAGATATGATTAAGAAAATCAAATATAGAGAATAACCTACTTGTTATATTTCTGACTCTCAGTTACAATCTCCACACGCTGATAAATTGCATGATTTGCTTTCAACTCTTCGGAACCAATAACCACCTGTTTCACTCAAGGAACAAATTGTGTCAGATCGAGAGAAGATGGCAGTATGAAACTAACCCACCTGTGAAGCATCATGCTTGATTATCCATTTACCTTGTATGGATTGTAAAGGAATTGTCTAGCAAGTTGTTCAACTTCCTTTGGCCAAGTAGCACTCCAATAGAGAGTCTGCCGATCAGGACGGATCTACAGAGAATCAAATGATATAAGCAAGAGCAAAAATACTACAAGTAACTGTTTCATAACAATCTATCCTAGAATACAATGCTTTATTCAATGATGGCTCCTAGAAAAGAGATCCACCTAGTGTCACCAGGGTTTTAAATATCAAATATCAGGGAAATATCCGATGGCCAAGTTTCGTATCAGATTGTGGATATCGGGGAAATATCGGAATGTCATAACGGATGTTTGCATTAGAGTATGATGCGTTGAAATGTAATCTCAACATACTTAATGAAATCTAAGCATGCAAAATGTAAGTAATATATGTTTAAGATAATTATCAACCTTGTAAAACAAATAAAAGTACAAATCAACGTTGCAACATTTCGTCTAGTTTTTTAGGTCATGATGTCATTTGATATAATGGGAAAGTCATGATATGTCACCCAAAAAAATTACTAAACGTGGTAAATTGTTTCGCAACAAACCATATAAAATGATATATCAATCAACATAATGGCTGATATATCGGCCATATCACGGATATATCACCCAAAATAGCCAAAAAACGGTAAAGGATATTTTGAGACCATATCGGTTGCAACAAGCTTTGTAATATCGAAGGATATATCGGGCCATATCGGGGATATTTAGAATAATGAGTGTCACAGCACTTTTGCAAAATCATTGTTAAAATCTGCGTTCTAACTTCACAGAACACTTGAGCACTTTGTTTTTGTTGGCTTCCTAAAATTATAGTATGTTTTTGCTTTGCAGAGATGTAAGAGGCCATTCTACAATTCCATTTCTTTCAGGGCATATACAAATCAGATTTTTGAAAGTTGTCAGCAGTGCAATTTCCAATTTACCCAATAACAAGTTCAGTGGACTACAGAGAGAAGTAAGAAATGATGACCAAGCAAGAGAGAGGTTTTGCGTTTAACAAAATACAATGCGAAATAAGTAGTGTTTTAAATATCAGTCGCCATGTCGGACATGACGGCCGATATTGCGGTTTTGTTGCCTAGCCGATACGAAATCGCTGATTTTAACTCGTATTGCGTTTTTGGGGTCATGGCGAGGATATATCGGAAAAAATCGGACATTGCGGGCGCTATTTCGGCCATCAAAAATCGGCCAAATTTGTTAAATGTCGGTTTTAGGCTTATTTGGTCAAATTTGAACCCGACCCGACCCAATAAGCCATATTGGTTTTAACTTTTAAGCTAGGGTTTTTTCCCCAAGTCAGTCGATCCTCAATCCCAGCGACTCCTCCTTGCGACGACGCCGAACAGATGACGCCAACGACAGACGACGCCGACGACGCCGGACGACGACGGCTGACCGCCACCGAATCCTTCGCCTCCAGATCTACCGCCGACCGACTCAAAACTCAGGGTTTTTTTTTTCATTTTTTTTCTTGTTTTCTTCTTTTTTTTGAAAATAATTTTTTCCCTTCTTTTCTCTGCAGCGAGATTATCTATTTTGCTCGACCGCTGACCGACTCCTTAGTCTTCTATCTTGCTCGATTTTATTTGCTGGTAAGTGGTAATTAAAAGTTTTGATCTTTGTGTTGTTTGATTTTTTTGGGATTCCTTCTTCTGTTGTGTGATTCTAATTGGTGGCTGAGTCTTTTTTTTCTGTTTTTGCAAATTAATTTGCAGCTATTGAGCTGCTAGCAGTTCTGGCAATTTAGGGCAGTTCTCTGTTTGTTTTTTTTGTTTATTTCTTTCTTTTTAATCTGCAACTAGTGGGATTTGTGGTGCTTTGGATTAGATCTGGGTGTTGTGAATCTGTAGATCAGTTAGCTTTGTTATTTTTGTTTTATCATGAAAGTTGGAGCTTGGATGTTTCTTTCTCTTGTAGAAAAATTTGTTTATGAAATTCACTAGTATGGCTCTGTTTATCATGAAAAATCTGTAGATCAGTTAGCTTTTGTTTCAAACTGTTATTTACATAATTGTTTCAAACGTTGTACAATAATTTTGGTAGCTGTGTTGGCCCTGTTGGGAAATTTGATTGATCCTTCATTCTTGCTCGTTGCTACTTAACTCTCAAGTATAATTTGTAAAAAAGAAAAACAAAGTCAGTGAGCAACAACAATTTAGTAATTAGTATAATTTGAAAAAGTGCTTAAAACTAGTAATTAGCATGCTAACTAATAAATTATAAACATATAAATATTTGATTGAATTGTATAATCAGTTAATCACCATGCATGAATCATGATGCACAATTATTTGATTGAATTGTAAATATGTAATTGGTTTTAAGTTTGTTTAAAACTAATTATATGTTTGTTGTCTATTGTAATTTTTAGGAACATGTCATCAGAAGGACAATGGTCTACTAAGCCGCCAACATCAAAACCGGACGGTAAAGATCCATGTTGGGCATACGGGGAGAGAGTTGGCTCCGATACCAACAAGATTAAATGTAAATATTGCACTCAGACATTCAATGGCGGGATTACTAGATTCAAATCTCATTTAGCCGGAAAGAGAGGGAATTGCACACCATGCATAAAAGTCCCTGATGATGTTAAAAGAAAAGTCTCAGAAATACTGGAGAATGCAAAGAAGAGCAAGGAGGATAAGGAGACAAAGATCTATAATTTGTTGAGTGAAGTGCATATAGGGGAGGAAGAGGAGCATAACTCCTTGACTACTCAAAGAAGCTCGTCATCCTCTTACAAGTCAGTAGGCCCAATGGACTCCTTTGCTGCTCGTTCTCCCGAAAAGACCGTCCAATTAGTAGCTAAGGGCAAACAACCATCGATGGACTCCAAGCTAAGAAAGAAAAAAAGGGAAGATGTTATGCAATACATTTCCAAATGGTTCTTTGAAGCTGGCAATCCATTTCATACAGCCACACTTCCCTCTTTCCATCAAATGCTACAAACCGTGGGGATGTTTGGAAGTCATTTACAAGCTCCATCAATGTACGAGTTGAGCGAGACTTGCTTGCAGAGAGAGGTGGATGCAACGAATGAGATTGTTGAGAACTTCAAGAAGACATGCATTGTCAATGATTGTTCCCTGATGACTGATGCTTGGAGTGATCGAAAGTCTAGAAGTATCATGAACATAGTTGTACACTCTGCCGGGAGGGCATGTTTTTTGTTATCACATGATACATCGGCCGATAAGCATGATGTTGACTATATTTGTGACTTTGTAGACAAGGTTATTGATGAGTTAGGGGAGGAAAATGTGGTGCAGATTGTCACCGATGGAGCTTCAAATAATATGGCGGCCTCTAAGAAATTGGAGGAGAAGAGAAAAAACATATTTTGGACCACTTGCGCAGCGCACACCGTGAACTTGATGTTATGCGACATAGTCAAGTTCAAACCCATTCATAATGCCATTACAATGGGGAGGAGTGTATCGGTATTTATATATAATCATACCAAGCCTCTTCAATTGTTTAGAGAGTTTACTAAGGGTGATCTTGTGAGACCGGGGGTTACAAGATTTGCTACGACATTCCTCTCACTGCAATCATTAAGGGATCACAAGAAAGAGATGAGGCGGATGTTCATCTCTGATCAATGGATGGATTGTAGCCTTTCAAGAATAACAGCGGGCAAAAAGGTATGTATTTAAACTTTAAAAATTAAAATTGATAGTTACAAAGTATTCCTTTCATCATTTATATTTCACTCATTCTTTAATTGTTTGTATTATTTGTAGGTTGCTGAGATAGTTGCTAGCAACAAGTTCTGGGACAATACAGACTTTGCCCTCAAAGTTTTCAATCCTTTAGTGAAGGTTCTCCGGAGAGCCGATGGTGATAAAGTCCCATCTATGGGATTTATATATGGAGATATGTTGGTGGCCTTAGAAGAGTTGAAAGTAACCCTTGGAAATGATGAGAAAAAATATAGTCCCATATTGAAAATGATTAAGGCAAGATTCAATAAGAAGCTTTGTGATTCACTACATAAAGCGGGCTACTACTTGAATCCATATTTCTATTATCCGGCTTACACGAAAATTAAAAAAGATGGAACTTTCATGACATCACTTGTAGATTGTATGCATAAAATCTTCCCAAATGACCATGCGACTTTCACAAAGATTGGAGCTCAATTACCTAATTATCAAGAACGTCTAGGGTCATTTGGAAATGAATATGCGAAGCGCGAAGCTTCTAAGGGTGATTGTCCAAGTAACTTTATAATATTAAATTAATTCATTAACCTCTATTACAAATTTATAAGTTACTAATTTTTTTCAAATATGAATTAACTAGTTACATGGTGGAGGCTTTATGGGAATGATACTCCCGAATTGAGAAAGATGGCAATGAGAATTTTGGCCTTGACAACTAGCTCTTCGGCATGTGAAAGAAATTGGAGCACATTTGAGATGGTAATAAACTAATAATGTTTCTTGAATTTAGATCATGTTGTAGCCTTGTAGGTTTATAGCATTTTGTGCTAATTCATGTTTTCACTTGTAGATTCATACTAAGAAGAGAAATAGATTATCTCACAAAAAGCTTCATGACCTCGTCTTTGTCAAATTCAATGCAAAATTGAAGAACAAACATGCCGTCATAGATAGAGATCCTTTGTGCGCCTATGATGATGAGGAAATGATCTCTAAATGGTTGATGGGTTCAAACGGGGATGATAGCGATGATGAAGTATTTCCGGGAGAATGTTTGACTTTTAGGCAAGTTGGTGACATTTCAGGAGCTAATCCAAGAAAGCGAAAAAGTGCACGAACACAAACCTATAAAAGAAAGAAAATGTCGGTATCATCTTCTTCGAAGGGGAAGGAGCCGGTGGAGGATGATGAGGAAGAAGATATTGAGACATCATCGGAGTCGAATGAGGAGGATGTTCTTACTCTTGATTTTGATGAGGATTGATTAGTCCTCTTAGTTTCAATGTTATTTTGGAATTACTTTTGGATAATTGGATGTTAAACAATTATGAGCTATTTGTAACTTTGAAAACTTGGTTGTATGTTTGCTTTGTTTATGTTTCTCTATGGATATGAATCTTGTGATTTTCATTCTATATATTATAATTTATATGTCACTTGCTTCATTCCTTATATGCTATTCTATGTTTACTAACAACATCTTCATATTTTGTAGGTCAAGCACTCGGATGGTGTCAATATGCACTCGGGAATCAGGTGTCTACAATTGGTTAGTGATCCTAACATCAATAATCATATGTTTTGACAATATAATTATCAAGTATGTGAAGATTCCATTTATGATATTATATCAACCTATCCAATATGACAATCCGATATTTTTTTTATGTCCCCCGATATATCCCCGATTTCCGCTATCGGACATGAATTTTGGCCGACCGACATGAACCCGACATCCGACATTTAAAACATTGGAAATAAGTGCACTAGACTTGTGGCATCATGTAAGATCATAGTTTATATTTTGAAACCTCCATAAATGCTCTTTATCAAAAAGTATGTCCAGAATAAAAACTAAGCATGGCATTTGATCTGTAATGGCGAGGAATAATGGCAACAGAATAAACAAAATATTTGGGGTGTTTAAGAGAAAATATGAAGACAACCTAGTGGGTCCTCTTTGCCAATTAAGCCTATTAAGCCCAACAATCATTCCCTCAAACATGCCTTTACATATCTTTGCATATGTTCCCAACCACATCAACACAAGTTTTGAGAACAATTTCTCTTGGAGATCTGATCAGCTTTGAGCACAAAATTATCTTTGAGTTGCCTACAACTCCCTGAGTGCATATTATGCATACATCATATTATCCTTGAGCTGTCTACAACTCCTTTTGAGTGCTTAGTACATATACATCATACGCATCATATACAACTCCCTGAGTACATGGTGCATAGTACATTATCATTGACTTGTTTATAACCACCTTTTCACAGTGTACTCGCCTACTCATAATATATCTTATGTTTCTCATTAAGTGCATAGCATTAATATACGCATTACCAAAGCCCGATGCATCTTGGACACATTAGTGGTTTTTTCCCCCATTTCTTATCCTTCTTATGCTGCTGACTAAAACTAAACTTAACAAACAAAAAGTGTTTAAGTCGGGATCAAGATAAGCATACGCATAGGAAAAGAAATTAACTGTCTGATTGCAGAACACTTTTTTACTTGAAAAGCTTTAGACACTGTATATGATGTTATTTGAGGGCGGGAGGGAGGGATTCTGCTACATGTATATGATGTTACATAAGGGCGGGAGGGAGGGATCCTTCTACTTGTAGTTAAGGTCTATTTGTTTGCATGGAAGTAGCTATGAAGCAGACGAAGTAAATAAAGTAGGGTTTACAGCTGCTCCAAGCAAAAAAATATGGTTCTCTAGAAAATCGACTTACGGTACTTCCTTAAATGCTGATGTGGCATCTGCGTGTCGTCTACGTGGCATCCCTATTCCTTAAATATTTTTCCTTCCCTCAAGGATCCCTCAAGAATCAGAAGTACCTTGGAAGTAGTTAAACCTAAGTAAATTTAGAAATATAATCAAATTTTCTATTACATTGATGTTCTCTATTTCTAAATAAAATTCGAAAAGATATTCTTTCTCTCTTTCTAACAATATTTAATTGTTATCCAAACAAAAAGTGAATGAAGTGGAAAAAAATACAATTTCTGGTACTTCCAAAATTTTGCAAAACAAACAAAAGTTGCACTTCCACTACTTCATAATTTTAGAAATAATCACTTTCTTCTTCTAATATTTCCTATCAACCAAATGGGCTC